TAGACCTTTTCTAACAACTTCCTGTTATTATTGACAAAGTTCCTGTCTTAACAGTGTCCTCACTTTTCTTTCTTTCATCCCCCACCCCTCCAATATAGTTACTTTACAACTTTAAGTCCAATTAGTGCTTACATCAGTATGACTATGTATATATTGTTTGCTGACAAGCCAGTTAGTAGACTATAATTGTTTCTTTCTTTTTTTTTGGTATAATTCTTTCCGTTTGTCTTGAGATAAACATGGCCTTTTTTCAGTTGCAATTTTAAAACATGCATATTCCTAGTTCTTTTTATATGTTCCCTCATCTATATGGACCGTAGTCTCTCAAATTCTCTTTTCACTCAGAAGTCTCCCTCCAGGTCTTCTCCTTTTTTCCTCTTGCTCTGATCTGTACTGATTTTCTCTAGGTCTGGTATACAATGGTTATTCTCAGGTTTCTCTTCGTTGCTCTTCTAGTGAGATCCACTATTTGTTAGAGCCTGTGTTTTCTCTTTCTTGGTTTTCTCCCTTATTTTGTACGAGCATGTCCTCCATTAGCTTCCTGTGAAAGGATATAAGAGATACATTTTATGAATCTTTGCTTGATTCTTGTTTTTTATTTCTGGAAGCTAATAGGATATTTTCTTTATGCTTGGCTCCAAAATGTTACAAGTACTTTAGCTCACAAAAATCAACTCAAAATGGATCACATACCTAAATGTAAATGCTAAAATTTTTAAGCTTCTAGAAAAAACGTAAGAGAAAATCTTTGTGATCTTGTGTTAGGCAAATATTTCTTTAGACACAAAAAGCTTACAGACTATAAGGGAAAAAAATGAATACATTGGACTTTATGAAAATTAAAACTTTTGATTTTTGAAAACCATCATTAAGAAAATGAAAATGGAAGATATAGAAGGGAAGAAATATTTTCAATGCATACATCTGACGCAGGACTTGTATCCAGAACATATGAAGAACTCTTACAACTCAATCACAAGAGGTCAATGAGTTTAAGTTTAAAATTGAGCAAAAGATTTAAACACACACTTCACAAAAGTAAATATATAAATGATCAGTCAATAGGCACAAGAAAAGACACTCAATTTCATTAATCATCAGGGAAATGAAAATTAAAACCACAATGAGATAGCAACGCACACCATTGGAATGGCTAAAATTAAGTAGATTGATGATACCCAGTGTTAGCAAGAACGTTAAGCAACAGGAAAGCTTATACGCTGAAACTGATTGGTTCTTTTAAGAAAAGTTACATACTTCTGTTATATGACTTGATCATTCTACTCCTGGGTATTTATTCAAGAGAAACAAACATATTCTACACAAACTCCTATAACTAATGTTCTTAAGTCTTTATTTGTAGTAGCTTCAAACTAGAAGCACCCTAAATGTCTGTCAATGTATGCATAGACAAACAAAATGTGGTATATTCATACAATGAAATATTTCTTAGCAATAAAATGGAATGAACTACTGATACATATAACAGTATACATAAATTTAAAAATCATTACAATAAGAATGAAAGAAGCCAAACACTAAATAATACATGTTTTTTGATTCTATTTATGTACAATTTTAGAAAATGCAAACTAGGGAAAAAAAAGAAAAAAAAAGAAAATGCAAACTATTCTAAAGTGATGGAAGCAAGTCTATAGTTACCTGGGACTGAGGGTGGAGAAAACATCTCTCCACTGCAAAAATGCATGGGGAAACTTGTGGGTGTTGTAAATATCCTTTATCTTTATTGTGGGGCTGGTGGTATCATAGGTATGTGCTTCTGCCAAAACTCATAGTATTGTATAATTTGCATAAATGCAATTTACTGTACATAAATTTTACCTCAATAAAGTTGATAAAAATTAATGAATAATTGTATGCATGCATGAATTTATTAATAGCAACTAGTGGGCATCGTAGTCACCAATTTGTCATCTTCAGAAATTTTCATTAGATAATAGAGATTGTATTACAAAGTGAATGGTGCATTTAATTTGTAATTGGTTCCATATAATTAATTCTACAGCACTTTACTATGATATTGAT